GTGTATGTGGTCGTGTACTGAGCACGTCGACGACTCTTCGGACAAGTCGTAGCCATTCTTCCTGAAAGGTCTTATGATCATCCAGAGAATGGCATGCTGAGTTCCCGGAGGGGCGTTCTTGAAGATGGCCCCGCAGGAGAATCCTGCGAGGTTTGGTACTGATGCTGTTTAGTCACCCATTTTTCTCTGCCGGACCATAATGTACATCGCACACAGTACAGTGCTTGATCGCTCTCGTGCCATCCTTCCTGGCATGACCCCTTACCGGACTGCTTATAAACAGGTCATGATTCTATTGGTTGATCATGTTTGGCGCATGCTTTCTTCATCTGTACCGCTGCAATTAATTCGAAAGCGTTCTCTGAGTCCGAATACATGCCGGAGTCCTGTAACTGCCACATCCCTCGTGAAGTTGAGAGTAGCGTTCGAACATGCCAGGATGAAAGCAACCATAATCACTTCTGGACCACAATCAATCCTCCTGGCGAGCGAGCCCCGACTGAAGATATCGCATGAACTGAACAGGATGCTTGACGACGATCGAAGAATGCTGGCCAATGTCAGTGCCATGTCTAGTGCCATAGTTAGTACCGCTATAGGCAAATCGAGTCTTCGTCACCTGTCATACGTACCGCTTTCACGGCAGAAGAACTGATTCAGGCAGAAGAGAACTCACTACCGAGCACCCTAGTGGTGCCGAGATAGCTTGGTCCTCTTCACATGTGTAATTCTCCCCACCCAGCCAGGACCCGCCGGCCGGGTGTGCCCGCAGGAAGCGGGGAATGTCCAGACATTATAGGACCGGGGACCGCGTGGGCTGCCACGATATTTGCCATGGTCAGCTGCTGAGCACGACCTCCGCGGACCCAATTGACAGTTGGCGGAAGCCGGAGCGCTGTCGGTTTAAGAGACAATGCGACATTCCAGCAAGCACTAGGCGCGCAAATAAAGACATATAAAGCTGACTTCGCAATGGGTTCGATGTTTTCGAGGAGATGACAGTTGGGTGAAGTTGGTAGTTGTCACCAACTAGCAGAGCCGCACTTAGTGTTAGGCAAGCACCGGCCATGTCTCTGGCTTAAAAGCCTTGGTTGTGTTATCATCGCCGCGCATGGACTGCGCAAAGAAGTCGCGGAAAGCTTGTTTTTCTGTAAGCGTCTCTTCGGGAGCCGAGGCACTAGGCATTGCTCCAGCCATCTCTAGTATACGGTGGCCAAGGCTGAGGTTTATGTGCCGCACTCACAGGTCGAAGACTTCTGTGGATCGCGTGGTCTGTAGTTGGTAGAATCTGCGTGGTGGTGGTGGTGGCGGCGTCGGCGGCGGTGACGGCTACGGCCCAGCGAATTGAAGTGACAATTCGGACAGGACCCGCCGAGGTGGGCAGGATCACACAACCAACTCACGGCCAGCGGCCCTTCAGATAAGCGAGCCACGAGCATTGGGATTCTTCTGCTGTTGCATGATGATCGGACGCATGCCACATAGCTGGTGGACGTAGAACCTCAGTGATGTTTGTATCCCCTTCTCCGTCGTCCACCAGACCGAAAAACTTTCGAACGACTTTGCCGAACTCCACCTGCCTCCTCCTGCCAATTATCAGGCGATCATCTCTGAGATCAAATGCTTTCGTAATGGAATACTTTATTCTGTCGAGAACAGGAGCCGTGATGTTTCTTTTTCGATGAGGACTCCGACTTGGGTGAGGCTAAAACGTCCCTAGTATTTTGACTACCTCATCCCTAGCTCGTTTCCAGTCTCGATCTTGTTTCTGGTCCACTCCCAAAATCACTATGTGAACACACTCGGGGCCACTAGAAATTTCCATTCTGTGGCAACTAATTGTATTGAGTCCGCGTAGGGAGAGCCTATGTTCGATGGTATAAAGTCAAGCGAGAATCGCTCCGGAGCTTGAAATATTGGACTGGATTTTGACTGGCAAGAGCCTCAATGGCCGCCCGGGCTCGATCACAGACTTTGGGAAACAAGTTGAGGACCGTCTCGTGACCAGGTAAAGAGATTGGTGATGAGGTATCTGGAAGATATTGGGTATCGCGACCCTCACCCGCTGTGGTGCGACCCCAAGTTCGGCCATGGAGATAGCCATAGAGACGCCTCGACATGGGGTTTTTCGTTTCGGCAAAACGAGATCAACAAACCTCGCAGTGTCCTTCCAAGTTGAAACTGGGTCCCTCATTACAGAAGCGGCCATATTTGTGGGACAGTTTATAGTGCGGGAAGCGTCGGTCGACTTTGCGCCTTCAGGGTGATTTGGCGCGGAGTAGTCAGGAAGAATATCCGGGAAATGGAATGTTTTGGACGAGGATGGAAAGAGGGCCAGCGAGAGAGAGATAGAGCGAACAAGAGGAAATAACACAAGCAGGAGCAAGGACTTCAACCCGCTCTTCGTGAACTGACCGAAGCTCATAGATGTGGATGTTCTTGAGAACTGCATGTATTGGAACAGCAATGAGCTCGCTCCATTTTAGAGAGTCTTCAGTCACAGTGGCAAACCAGTCTTGAGGGTTGGCCTTTAGACCACGGATTTCATAATCGGATGCGTTCTTTCTGTCGAAGAACTTCTTCCTCGAAGGACAACCACACACCCCAATTTAGACGGGACCGACGATCACTATGGTAAGGGCGCATATTGAGGATTTCAGCCTGAAATTCGATTATAGAGACGGCTTCCTTCAACATGTCTTTGTTGACCGCCTGTGACAAATTGGCACGGGCTTTATTGGGCTATGCAGTGCCGGAAAGACATGACTGAGGTTTGGAAAAGATGCTGGCCGCAACTATCAGACTGGCACGGGCTTCATCGGACTTCGCATGATTGAACAGAGTCGATATGGCTTGGCAAAGATCTCAGTGGTAGTAACCACATCATCAGAGATGACAATAACCTCATGCAGACCGTCAACCTCATCGTTATACTGGGTAGGATACTGAGTAGAACACGGCGTAGAACAATAGAGACAATGTAAGTAGGGAACGGAGGGAAGAAGAAGTATGCAAACCTCCTCGAGCACTATGCTCGCCAGTCGCTGGAAACAACGCGCCCTTACCTGGTCAGGGACGGGGGCATCGGCCTCCGCCAACCTAGACCAGCCCAGTAATCGCCTCGAGAATAACTATCGGGCGGGTGTGAAGGGCACAATGCACGCCACCAAGCCTGGCCAGGTGGTAAAGTCTAAAGTCATCGAGAAGAAGACAGGCGAGGAATGGACCATGAGTTATGATGATGATATAGACAGCCCAGCCCAGCCTAGCCCACCGGCTGGGTCGTGGTGAGTGGTCCATCGAAACCGTGTGAGTAGCACGCTGGGGCCAGATGCCCAATAAGAGCCGACGCCAATGGAAAATTCCTCCAAGCCGACATCATCTACTCCTTGCCAGGATGGCCTTCGCCCCTGCCATGATAGCACCGTTTTGAGTTTTATGAATTCAGAATGCTGCTTGATTAGCGTCAAACCTCCTGTCAAGGTAATCTGAGCTGTGTCTCCATGTCTGTCACAGTCAAGGAGTTGAGCCAGAAAGAAAATACCTGGCCATACTAATACATCAGCTCGAACAATTGCTGCACGAGTGGCAAGACCTGCCCATCTTTCTCTCTCCGTGACCTGAGGGTCCGAAGCAATTAGCTTGGCAATGGACACAATATCGAAAGCAAGGTAGTCAGGTCCTAGCATAATCCACGAAGGGCTTAACCACTGCCCAACGGGACAAGAGCCCATGGGCAAACAGAATCTTATCGACCCAAGTTCGTTTCTGGGATGATCCACTGCATTCCAAGAATACTTCCGCTGCAGAGATGAAGAGCGGGTTATCATCCTCAACAATACTTTTTAGACCAAGCTATGTTTTACGGTCAGAATAATTTGCAGTTGTTAACGACGTAAAACAAAAGGAATTACTTACCATCCGAAGAGAATTGGGGACACAGACAAGTCTTTCGTCGAGGTTGCGACGTATGCTATCAAGAACATCAGTCTGGGTACATTTCGAGGAAGCTCACAAGCTCCGATTCCAGTTCCAGAACATTTGTTATTTCTGCAGTATAGGCTTCTAGGCAAGCTTCATAGATGAGAACTTCGGTGCCATAGTTCTCAAGGAAGCTGGTCCACATCGCGGTGAGTGCGGAAAATGGACCGGCCTACTCGTTGCAGTGATAGAATCTGCCACCGAAACGGTAGGAGCATTCAAATTAGCCAATCATCCCCATCTAGTTGTAGGGTTGGTTACAATAAGTAAAGAACTTACTGTTTGAATCGAGAAAGCATCACAAAAGTCGAGGGTGGATTCCAGACAACAACTGCGTAGCGCGTTATCAGGCGCCTGTTCCAGTCACGACTCAAATAAAGGCTATCGGTTGGGGCAAAAAGCTTACTTCAGCTCGGTAGGCATTTCCACCGGAGTCTATAGTATTCGTACCTGCTCAATTGTTTGACGTCCATGGTATCTAGAGATCGAGCAGGGTCTTCACGATGCCACTTGATTCATCGAGGGATGAACTATTTGCCCGCCCACCATGGCCTTCAAGTTTTTCAGGTCCAGGCAATTGAGTTGCGCGATCGCAGCCTCTCTGATCGTCAAAAGATCTCGCACCTCGTCAAGTTGGCGACATCGTAAGAAGGATGTCCTCTGCACCGGACCGGTAGCCTGAACCCCACAGTATATGGGGCTTAGGCATCATAGTGTCGTGTTCTTTGTCTGTGAGGGCAGGTTTCAATTTAGTCTTAGTTTCTAGAGGTTGCTCGTGGCAGTCAGTCCTTGTCCACCCACCACAGAGGTGTCCGGAAGCGGCCTCGACCCTGATGCTCCCACCTCAAAGCACGTCTTCAAGCGCCTCGCGTTTCATCATTCGTCTATAACCGACTCGCCGTCTGTATCGACTTCATGTGAATTGCGGTTAGGAGGAATCACTGGCGCTGGCACCTGGAAGTGACCGTAGTCATCGTCCGGTGAATCGAAGATCTCTGGATCAGAGCCTTCGTCAAACCTCACGTCCCTGGCGGTGACGACTTCGTCGTGCACAATCGCTCCAAGCCGGCGAAATCAATCCTGAGCAGGGCGAGACAGGAAATGATGGCATAGAACCTCTCTGTCAGACAGTAGGCATTAGAATCTTGGAAAAACGCACGTACAGGGATAACGACTTACTGCACACGAAACGAAGGTCGAAACCCGCGACTTTGAACTTTCCAGCGTGGACTTTCCTCGCGCTGGCAAGCACAAACAAGAGGCAAGATTCCCAAGGGCTCAAATGGTCCAAGACAGCCCAGTCGCTCTTGGCAATCTTGCCGACCTGCTGCCACACGTTCAGGAGTTCCCCACTATATCCAACAGCAGAATACTGCTGACCTGCTTCAAGTCCTGCACCCTTGTCCTGGCTCTTCAGCTGACGGTTCAGGTGTTCGTAACCGGGCTTGTCAGCCCGATCACAAAGAACAAGAGGAATGAAACCACGAACGACGCCCCGCCAAAGAAGCGCTCCGTCGCGGGGACTTTTGGTCATGTTGTTGTTCAACGGCTAGCTTCTTTCGAGGGGTGGAGCAGCTGCAGCGGGAATCCCAGATGACGTAAAAGGGAAATGCACCATGGTATTCCTAGGATGCACCCTTACACAGGATAAGAAGGAGCACCACAATGAGTACAAAGCCTTGGGCTTGGGGCTTGTTCTCAGGCAGTGCGAAGACCAGGTCATGCAGGGATAAAGATAGAAGGCGGTGTCCGCAAGGCCTTCTTACCAAAAGTCTCAGCAAGGAGGTCTTTCCGAGTTCTTGGGATGGCTTCCATCATGAGTGGTCGGGGTTGATGGTGTAGGAAGTATAGAAAGGGGCAGGCTATTGAACAGGTAGAGTGGTGATAGAGGAGCAGTGTCGATGGGTATGGAAAAGAAAAGGGGAGAAGCCATAGAAAATTCCACGAAGACAGTGGTTGAAGAAGGTCGACGAAGGTCGACGATGATGCTTGATAAAGGTGATGGATGAAGGATGTGGAAGATGGAGGATGAAGAAGAAGCAGATGACGATGGTTGATGGAAGAAAATGGTCGAAAAATTGGTTGAAGAAGGTTGAAGAAGATGAAAGAGAGGAGAAGGAAGAGAAGAAAAGAAGGAGGAGGAGGGAGAAGAGGAAGTATTTAGGCTTGAGGATGAAGCACACGGAAAGGTACGGAATGGCAGCCATTCACACACAAAGTGTGTGATTGAATGTATGAATAAGGAAAATGAATGGTGTGAACAGCCTAGCCAAAAGCCAAGAACCCTGAACATCACAAGAACAAGACCATCCAAAATTCACAGCCAGGATCCTGGCACCTAATCCAACCATCATCTACATAGCTGAACTCAGTTAATAGCTCTACGCCGTAAATACTCTACATTCAAGACTATTTTCTACAGCCATGCAGCAAACTTCAAACCAAAAAAGGAAATCCAATAAAACCTAACCAATGGTATATACAAGAAAAAAGTCACGATCCGCCAAGAAGATCAAACCTGCACACTCGACCCATCGCTCTTCTTGCACGAGCAGCCACACGAATCCGACGCGATCTGGGACGGCGTGCGCGCGTAGCTAGGCGGCACGTCCAGGGCCGGGTTGCGGGCGAAGAAGTGTCTGGGCCGGAGGAGGAGGGTCATGGGCTCGGCCGGCATGATGGGGTAATCCTCCGGCGCGGGGAAGTGGGTCAGGCCGAAGGTGTGCCACAGCACGATGTCGGTGTTGTCGATGGAGCTGTCGGCGCCGGCCTCCTCGATCCAGGCGGGGAGACCCTGAGAGGGTTCGCCGGAGGTCTGGGGGACGTGGCGGCCCGCGGGGTGGATTTGGTCATCGGAGTCTGTTTCAGCCAAGATTAGTTTCCAAGTCTATCGGAGAGCAAGCAAAAAGAAGTTGCGAGAGGTGTGTGACTCACATTTGGTAACGTGAACGGCGTGTCTAGCGAATCCAGCTCGCTTCCAGACCAAACCACCCTCCTTGGGAAGCAGAGGAGGCACCTCGCGGCTGACCAGCTTGTAGGTGACGGGCTTCTTGCTGTAAGGGTGGAGCTTGTTGGTGTTGGCAATCTCCCAGGTGCGGCTGGTGTTGCCGTCGTAGTCCGACATGGCCTCACGCGGGGTGTTGAACTTGGTCTTCTTGGCGTAGAAGGCGTTGCCGTACTTGTTCTCGGCGCTGCCGACCTCGCCGGGGCCCCGAACGGCGTCGACCTGGAAGACGGTGTTGTTGGGCCCGTCGATGTTGGCGTCCACACGCAGACAGAACAGGTGCTGGTGGTTGTGCGCGTTGACACCGGGGTAGACCTCGGTACCCCAGCCCTTAGTGTCCTCGCCGGGGTTCATGGCGTAGGTGTTCAGGATACCCGTCAGCTTGATGTCCAGCTGCACGGTGCCGTCCTGGTGGAAGATCCAGTACACGCAGTACTCGTAGTTGGCGGCGGTGAAGATGTGCGAGATGATCAGCTTGCGAGCGCGGGTCACGATAACCGACTCGTCGCGGAAGTCGGTGTGCTTGAAGAGGATGCCGTTGTCCTCCTCGTGGATGCAGATGGCGTTCTTAACGATGGTGCTGGCACCGGCGCGGTTGACGAAGGCGGCATCCATGTAGTGGATGGCACCCTTGCAGTCACAGCCCAGGGAGAGACTGTTGGTCATGTAGCCACCGCCGTATTCACCGAGATCGAAAGCGTGCTTGCGCTGGTGGGGGTGCTCAGGGTTACCGTAGGGGACGACCATCTCCGCCAGCGAGAGACGGTAGAAGACCGGGCGAACGTTGCCCTTGTCATTAAATGTGATGTTGTTGAGCACGATACCCTCGCGGTAGTTGAATCCGACGTGGATGTTCCAGTTTTGCCAGTCAATGTTGCGTCCGTTGACATTGAAGGAGACACCTTCGGGCTGCGTGATATGAATGGGCTTGATATCCGTGCGGAAACCACCATCCTTCTCAATGGAGTTGACGTCGTAGTTGTTAGGAGGGGCCTTGCTGATCGGTCTCCGTACAGGGGGAATATCGATGTGAATGACCTCCTTCGTCTCGGCATTGAAGATCGGGCAGAAGTCCAAGGGGTATGTGTATTGAGAATCGTCAACGTGCGGGCGGTAGTACATGAGGGCTTGCTGCAGGCGGAAATCGGTGCCGAAGCGCTCATCGTATCCGATAGTCCAAGCTAAATCCAGTCAATACCAGCATCAAAAAGTACCGACGATCAAAACTCACGATCGCAATAGACCTTGTGCATTTCTTCCTTGGGAATGCCGATGATAGCACACTGTTCGATGACCTTAGGGTCCTTGCGGACAATCGACTCCACCTCCTGCAGATCCTCCATCGTGATCAGAGGCTGCACGCCAGGGGTGTGCTTCCACTCGATCACCTTCTCTTGCTCAAGATCCACAATGCCATCGTAGACCTTGCCACCGGGCGCGATGGCAACCACGTCTGCCATACGAACAGGGCGAGGGGCCTTCTGAGGATCCGCCAGCCAGGCCATCATCTCGACCTTGCGGGGCTCGTAGAGCGTGACCGCATTGAAGTTGACTTTGCCATGCTCCTTGCGGATCAGGGCCACCGCGGTATCTATTTCCGATGTCGAAAGAGGATCGAGGGGGTGAGGAGGAGGCGCGGTGGCCTTGACATGGTGAGCCAATTGTTGCAAGCGGTCGAGAACCATGATGTGCAGAGTTAGAGAATGGCAAGGAAGTGTTTGGTCGTTGTGTCCTCGTGGGGTCTGGAGTTCGAGGAGGGTATAACTATATATGAGAAAATGTGGGGTAGAGCCGGGAGATTATGACGGCGGATGCTGGAGAGAGTAGACACAGACACAAACCAGCACAGTCTTGTGAGACTTTTAGTTATTCCGACAACCATGAAGGGCGGACCTAGTGGGTTTTAAAACAAACCGTGTCCAACAGCCATCTGCACGAATGGTAGGAGTGACTGAGTGACTTCGTTCCGGATGAACGATAAGAGCAGCGGTGTATACGATAAGCGCACCTGGCATGGAGAATGCATCGCCGATAAACCCAAGACCCGGATCCCTTTTCCCAATCTAGTCTAGCGTCCGATATGTGGTCGAGGCAGCCGAAAGCGGAAATGAGAACCTGAGCGGGCCAGACTCAGCATTCGCATGCTTTTACCCAATGCTTCACTTGGGGGATGAGGGGTTGATAGTAACTTACCTCGTAGGCTTAGGTAGTAGTAATCACACATAGTAATCCAATGCGATCTGTCAAACCCCCTCCCCGCTCTCTCCACCTATCGCATCCCCTCATACACTAGAGTCAGTACTGTCAACGGAGGTGGCAAACCGCCCAGGTGACACATATCGGAATATGTCAATTCAAATTGGGACCTATCTCTAACAATGACAATTTCTTTACGCTCAATGATAAGAAGCCGATCGGGTATCGCATCGCATCGCTCTCTCACCAGATAAGTCTCGGAAACGCCACCACGACAGTATGAAAGAGGAAAAAAAGATGATCATATTCCAGCCGTAAGAAGAACACCATACACCCTTGCAGAAACCCCACCTCCAAGACTATACGAAGGCACTTCAGGCGATGAACTCCATGGACGAACCGAGAGAGCAAACTAGCAACACAAACGAACAAGGAACAAATGCACCAAGAAAGCACAACCGGTGCCACATGCTATGTACATCCATCAAATCGTATAGGTTTCCTCCCATCCCTGCCACCAGGCACAGACCAGCTAAAAAGAAAATAAGGCAAAGACAAACCAGAAAACCCAGCTTAGACATCAGCAATTGAAAGCACATATGTATCCACCAGATCGAAAACACCCTCAGATGGGCGGGATTATCGTGGGCCGCAGTGTAGGTTTCTATACAGAAACGAGAAGGATAGAAAGTTAAATATTCGGGAGGATTGCGAAGGCGAGATCGTAAACCTCTGCGCACCTGGCTCGAACCTGAACAGGGAGGGGAGACGATAAGGACCGCCGATCAGAGCAGGCCAGAAGAAATCACTCAGGATTTGGCAGCCTGGAACTGTGCCAATACACCGCCAGTACCACCGGGGGTCATTGTGTGTGGTGTTTGGCTTCCGCCGATGTGACCAGCGTTGGGGGTGCTGGGGGTGCCCGTGGCCGAGTAGATGGTGGCCCCATTGAGGTTGGGGGTCTGGTGAGGTTGCATGTGGTACAGCAGTGCTGGCATCTGACCGTTCAAGCCCCAGATCTGCCCGGAGTATTTCGAGTCGTCGATAGTGCCGCCGAAGACCAGCTGGCGCATCTTCCAGTAGATCTCGCCGGTGACGAGGGAGTCGGACCCAGCCTGATGGGCGATTCCCACGCGCTTGACGCCCAGCTCGTCCGCAATGTCCTGAAGACCCGACTTCTGACCAAGATTCGTCAGAATCTGGGCCGCGGCCGGCGTCAAGGGGATGTCGTTAACGGCCTGGTTGCGCCCGGCGTGCTTCATCAGGTACTTGATATCGTACAGCGACGGGAAGAAGATGTTCAGAAGCTTGTGGAACTCCTCCTCGCTTTCCGG